CACACACAAAGCACACTTGGCACTGGTAAGGAACAATCTTTGGTTAAATGTCCTTTCCCACATTTCCAGCATTTCGAGTTGATTCTTTGAAAGGGTCTATTACTTGCTTTACTAGATTCAGCCCCTCTATATCCTTTGAGCTGCTGAGGTACAAGTTTGCTATAGGGCTTTTGATATTGATTGGTTTTGCTCTTCTGTATTGGCCCTCCTCTAAACATACCACTTTTATTTCCAATGTCCTTGTTTCTATGAGTCCTGTCCATATCTTCTATCACTTTACATCTATCCATCAACTCTGGAAATGATTTAATGCCCAATGGAGTAACTGCCCTTCGAATCTCATATCGGAGCCTTTCTTCAAATTTCTTGCCTTTCCATTCTTCATCTGAAGTGAGTTGTAAATATCTGGAATATTTTGCCAAGGATTCAAATGCGGCGGTATATTACGAAATTGTCATACTTCCTTGATAAAGTTTATTGAATTCCACCTCCTTTGCGTTCCTTGCACTTGGTGGGAAAATATTTCTCTAAAAACATGGTTTTAAATAATTCCCAAGTAACTTTTTCTCCTTTATTTTCCAACATTTTCAAACTTGCCTTCCACCATATCTTCGCATCACCTTGTAGTTGGAAACTAGCATGAGATACTTTCCGTTCATCCGGACATTCCATAGCTACAAAAATATCATCTAAGGTCCGAATCCACTCTTCAACCTTCTCGGGATCATATTCTCCTTTAAAATATGGCGGATCATTTTTCTTGAAGTCGGCTAAAGTTGTTTTATCTATAGTGGCATGATGCTTGGGGCAAAGCTGGTTGAGTCAATGCAGCAACCATTTCCCTTATGGCTTGTGCCACATCGACCATAGGATCACGTCGAGGTGGCATTTCGACCTACGAGTTTATTTCACTAAGTTAACGTACGGTGATAGAAATTATTCCTATCTTATATTTAAAATTTTTCTATACAAACAACATTTTCCTACTCAACTTGTACTCACAAGCCCTAAAGATGCATAACCGGAGCTCCGATACCACTAATGTAACCCCCCTACAGATTACATTTATTAATTCTAATTTATTATCTAAGTTAGTAATATTTTCAATATTCATAGAAGGTTAATAGAAAATATACTAAGTGAACAATTAATTTAGGTAAGATTTTATATTAAATCAAGCAACAAGTTCTAGTACAAAGTTTTCAAAATATTACAAGTCATGAAGTTATACTTATATGTTATACAATTCCCGACCTAAGCTCCGGATTTTTGCATCGACATCTATCTCTTGGACTATGTATTCCTGCATCATACGTCACCAACATCCGGGATTGAAATATTTATGGGGTTAGACATTTAATTTTATCCACAACAAATAAAGCAAACATTCATACGATAAAATCAACTAATGAAACATTCCTTCTAATAAATTCCTAACTGCATATAAATATACAACCATATGTAATTTAATTTGAAAATTAATTGTGAGAAACAAATAAATCATTCATGGAATCATAATAGAGAATATCATACAAATCATGAATAATCTACAATTTCATCATCCAACATGTTTATGATATGCAAATGTGACTCAAAACGCAAAACTTTAAAATCATGCTTTTGACTCAAAATTTAAAAATTTATTTTTGACTCGGTGCTCCATGGAGACTCATTGAGTGTCTAGTGGAACCAGAGCTTATCATCACCCTGTCCGGTGATTCGGCAATGTCCCACTAAACGCGAACAAGTAGACGGTAGTCGAGTGTCGATGCACCCGGCGAGCTACCACGGCACGAGAATCAAATAAAGGCGGCCACTTATGGAATTGCCCATGCCCAAACACTCCCTAGACCGAGAGGTCCATCCCCATAGACCGAGAGGTCCTGTCTTACCTATTCTACTCCCCATTTACTATCGAGAGATTCGGTAGCTCAATTTTTAATAATTCATTCTCTGTCTCATTTGGCCAGCCATTTTCATAGTCATATTTCACTACCGGATGCTCTTGATAGTAAATTGACTCACGAGAAAATGTAAAAATTCTGTTTTACACATCATTATTCCTACCAACCGTCCTTGGTAGCAACTTAAGAGAAATTTCCAAATACTTTTACGTAAAAACTTTTACGTGACTTCTAGAAAACATTTCATGCACTATGTTTATGTCTCATATGAAACAAAACAATCTATCATCAATTAAATACTTAAAAACATCTCCTTCATATATTCAAAATTTTAATTACAATTCATAGTTGTTTTAAGCAAGACAATTTTTATTAATAATTTATTTCATAGGGTTCAGTGTTTTGTCCATATCTTGAGTTCTAGACCTCATTTTAAGATGATTCCAATTGTGCTGGAAAGATAACATAATAATCTATAACTTTGATGAAGGCACTATCCTCAAATTCTAACGTTTATTGAGTCGTTTTCCTAGTAAACAAAGAGGGGGTAATATACTGTTTGACTTTATTTCGATTATACCCTTAACCTTTTTCAAAATTTCATTTATGTCCCTAATATGTGAAATGACTATTTTACCCTTGATCTTTTGCAAAAATTCCCACCTAGTCCTTTCTTCTTCCTTTTCTCGCTCAAGCGAGTATACCGGTCGCTTGAGCGAGATGGAACCCGAGAGTCTCCTTTTGTTTGAAGGCTTCGTCGCTCAAGCGAGTACATCGGTCGCTTGAGCGAGTAATGACCCGAGAGTCCCCTTTGTTTGAAGCTTTCGTCGCTCGAGCGAGTACACTTGTCGCTTGAGCGAGACATGACCGTTAGTCGCTCAAGCGATGTAATTATCGCTTGAGCGATAAAGAACCCGAGAATCCCAAAATTTCCAGGTATCCTCGCTCAAGCGACATATTTTTCGCTTGAGCGAGTTTTGCAGATTTTCATCAGTTCGCCATTTTCGAAATCCAAGTTTCAAATTTCTCAGTTTCAATCACTCAAATTTGTTCCAAATCAAAATTAAACCATAAATATGTTCAATTTAAGTTAAAAACAACAATTTTATTATATAATTCATCCTTAATTGAAAGAATTTCAACAATATTTCAATCTTTGCAATTGATGAATAGTAATCTCCAATTACAGACATTCGTATGAATAAAATTAAACGTCTAACCCATACCTGATTCCTCAATATCTTATTACTCTCCTAATTTTGTATGCTCTTCCTTTCCTCCTTTCTCTCGAATTCTTCTTCCAAGAATTCTGGTGTCTCTCGGTTTATTCTTCAAGTTGGTCGTGAATTGTGTTGGTGTATGTTTCCAGTTTCCTCCTATTTATAAACTTACTCACCGACTTAATTCTTTCTAGGATTTTCTTCGCTCTCTTTATTCTCCACCGCCTTAATTTAATTCGATTCTTCACCGACTTAATTCAAATGTATTTAGGCCACCACCGACCTTCTGTTTCTCTCTTCTTCTTTTTTTCTTCTAAATATTTATTTACTCATTTATTTAATTTTTATTATTAAGATTTATTATTAAATTATTATTTGACACAATATTAACCTTGGATTTTATAATTTTCTTAAGACAAAATTACTATAAAAATTATGTTTTATTTTAATAACTCTACATAATATTCGGTACATATTTATAACTTACAAAATTTATTTATATAATTGATTACAAAATTTAGGATATTACATATTTCATTTACCAAACTTATTATTTATAATTTATGATATATAAAAATAAATTCAAATTTAAATATCTTATTAATTAAAAATGCCAAAACCTATTTAATAAGATGAACCGAATTAAAAGATAAAAAAATTAAGTTAGATTAAATTAATAAATTTTTAATTTAAAATAAATTATACCAGTAATTTTATAAAGTAATTCTTATTTTTTCAATAATAATAAAAATAATATTATTTAAATGATATTTATATTTATATTATAAATTAATTTAAAAATATATCTACCTATTTTAATTATAAGAACTAATGTAGAACTAATGAAACATTACTTTAAATCATTGTATGAATAAAAAATTAGAATAAGAATGAAAATTAAATATCTAATTTACACGAATAAAAAATAGAGTGAGAATGAAGATTAAATATCAAATTTGTATTCTTAAGATAAATAGATTAATCCTTTTATAATTAATATATCAAATAATTATATTTTATTAATTAATTTAAATTTTAAAAAATATATTTTTTAAATAAATTATTTTATTTAAATATATTATATATATTTTTTAATTTTTAGTAAAAAAAATTGTTTTATTAATTCATTAGTCTATCAAATTATACTAAATTTTATAACCAATTTTACATATAGGTAAAATTGAATTATATTTTTTTCTAGACCTTATGGTTCACATAAAACTAGATTGGACATAACATTTGTAATAAATATTTGTATAATAATAATAAAAAAAGAAACAATATTTTTATTATTAATTTATATTTATAAAAAATAAAATTTTATTATTAGAAAAGTGGAAAAAATAATTTTGGTTAAATAGGTAGTTTAGTCCTTTTATTTTTTTAAATGTTTTAATGTGGTCTCAAAATTTTAAAAATTTTCAATTTAGACATGAATATTGAAATTGATTTCAATTTTGGATTACCATTATTTATGTTTTGATTCAGTTATATTAAATGTCTAGTTGAAATATCAGTTATGATGTGATTAGATTATTGATTATAGATATGTGACAAATCTCTATCACGTCACATTAAAAGTGCAGGAAGAAAGGAATAGGGGTCGCGCATGTGTTATAGACATGAACAATTGAGAGTTTGTGCAAATGAGTTAGAGAAAGCGTGAGAAGATGCAATGTTGTCGTGGACGTACGAGTTCTATTTGTGACGAAGGAGGAGTGTGATTCCATTGTAGGTTTGCCACTACGATAATGAGGGTACGAGTTGCTGCCGAGTTGGTTCCATTTTGTCCCTTTATGTATTTTTCTATATTTATATTTGATTTGTTGTAGTTGATATTTAGGTTGTAGGTTGTGTAATTGATCTTTGAAGAAAGATGTCATCGGCCACCATTTCAAGCAAGGTGTCGTTTGGAAGTAGAAGTCATTTTCCAAGTTGTCATTGTGGTGAGCTCGTGGTGCTTCGAACTCCTATGACCTTTAGAAATGCTGGAGAGTGGAACCCTAAACCCCTCTTCCTTTGTCACAGTCAATCTCATACACGACGGTGATTGGAACCCTAAATCCCCACTGTCATCACAAATGAAACTCTTACCTTCTCTGTCATTGCAGATCCTCTCACTTTTCTTTACCCATTTGTACAAACTCTCAATGATTCAAATCCTAAACACATCTGCGTCCTTATTCCTTTTTTTCTATAATTTTTATGTGACGTGATAAATCTACCATAGAATTAATCTAAAATTGATATCAATTTTAATATTAATGTTTAAATTAAAAATTTTGAAACGACGTTCAAAACATTTTAATAAATATCGGAAATAAATTACTTTTTTAAATTTATATTAAAAATAAATTAAATAGAACAATAATTGAAAGAATAAAAAAAATATCGCAAACAGTCCAATTAATATGAGCCACATATCTTCTGTGTCCACACCTTTGGGCAACATCTTTTTCTTCATTTATTTTTCTTTGTCTGCTGAACTATCTTACTTTCTCTTCTCCTATCAATCTTTGGTGTAGGGATCTCAAGGACGACCCAAAGGAGTTCTGACAAGGCTTTGCAGCGACTCCAGCAAGGTTGTGCACCATCTTTCCCCTCTGCCAACTGGAGAAGCCTCGGCAAGGCAACACAGACTCAGGACCCGAGGCAAATCACCACCACTAGAACTCCGACGAGGCTTTGCCACCACTCCCAGAGGCTCTGCAGGATTGCAAATTTGGTAAATTCTCTTCCTCTGTTTTGGTTTATGTATTAAATTATTCTGTTTTGAAATTTTGGTGGTGTTAGAAATTGAAAAGAAAACATCAAAACCAAACAAATTAAAAATAAAATAAAAAACTGATGAAAAAAAATAAAAAATCAAACAAAATCAAATTTATAAAATATTAAATTAATTTGATTTTTTTTAAATAAAAATCGATTCATACATGTATTAATCATTTTTATTTTAATGAAAAGAAAACATAAAATATGAAAGAAAAAAAAACTTTTAGATTATTAAATAACAAAATGATATAAAAAAATAAAAGAAAAAATAAAATTAGTTATTGTATTTTTCATTCATCCTGATCAAACAGATCCTGTAGATTTCTTACTTTTTGTAGATATGTAGATTTGTTACTTTTTTTTTTGTACTTATTTAGATTCTGTAGATGTGTTACTTTTTGTAGATCCTGTATATGTGTTACTTTTTGTACTTATTTATTTGATAGAAAAAAATTAACTTGTAAACGTGGAGAAATAATTTTGTCTGATTTTTTAAATCAAAAGAATCATTCTACTTAAAGTAAAAACCAAAAATATGATGGTAGCGTTCAATTTAAAGGTTCATATTTTAAGTGTAGATATTTTTTATTATCACAATGCAATAGAGAAGTTGACTTTATATATTTGAATATGCAGTGAAGCAGTAAATTGGTCAACAGACAAAAATGAATGAATCTTCTTTGCAAATAGCAATGTTTCCATGGTTTGCAATGGGACATTTAACACCATATCTCCACCTCTCCAACAAATTAGCAAAGAGGGGACACAAAATCTCCTTCTTCATCCCCAGAAGAACACAATCCAAGTTAGAGCAATTCAACCTCTTCCCACATCTCATCACCTTTTTTCCTATCAATGTTCCTCATGTTGAAGGCCTTCCTCATGGCGCAGAAACCACTTCTGATGTGTCTTTCTCTTTGGGCCCACTCATTATGACAGCTATGGATCGCACTGAGAGGGATATAGAGCTTCTTCTCATAGAGCTAAAGCCACAAATTGTTTTCTTTGACTTCACATATTGGCTACCCAACATGACTCGTCGCTTGGGGATCAAATCTTTTCATTACTTGATCGTCAGTCCTGCGACAGTATCGTACTGTGCATCCCCTCCAAGGATGAACCACAGTGGTAGCTTAACTGAAATTGACCTTATGAAACCCCCTCTTGGTTACCCTATATCATCCATCAAACTCCATGCACATGAAGCAAAGTTCCTTGCTTCGAAGAGGAACTGGGAGTTTGGTAGTGGTGTTCTCTTTTATGACCGCCTCTATAGTGGTCTAACCCAGTCAGATGCAATTGGATTCAAAGGTTGCAGTGAAATTGAGGGACCTTTTGTTGATTACCTTGAGGAGCAATTTGGGAAGCCTGTTCTCCTTTCTGGACCTATCATACCCGAGCGACCCAACGCTGTTTTAGAGGAAAAATGGAGTGCATGGCTTGGAAGCTTCAAGGATGGTTCTGTGATTTTTTGTGCACTAGGGAGTGAATGGAAATTAACTCATGGTCAGTTCAAAGAATTGTTGTTGGGTCTTGCACTTACATGGCTCCCATTTTTGGTTGTTCTGAAAATTCCTATTGGGTTTGAGACAATGGAAGATGCTCTCCCAGAAGGGTTTAAGGAAAGGGTTGAAGGGAGAGGAATTGTCCACAGTGGATGGATACAACAACAGTTGATTTTGGAACACCCATCAGTGGGTTGCTTCATAACACACTGTGGTGCTGGGTCATTGACTGAGGCACTGGTAAATAAGTGTCAAATGGTGTTACTGCCTCAAGTAGATGGCGATCATATCATTAATGCAAGGATGATGGGTGGAAACTTGAAGGTTGGGGTTGAAGTGGAGAAGGGTGAAGAAGATGGTTGGTTCACAAAGGAGAGTGTAAGCAAAGCAGTGAAAATGGTGATGGATGAGGAGAATGAAGTTGGCAGAGAAGTGAGGGAAAATCATGCAAAATTGAAGAATTTCTTGGTACATGATTTAGAAACGATCTGTGTTGATAACTTTTGTCAGAAGCTTCAAGATTTACTCGTGTGATTAAATTGGCCTTTTTTTACATAATGTTATCTTTTTCTCTAGGCAAGTGGACGGAGTCATATAAATGGTTATAAGTTAATTCCAGTTTTTATTAAATCAAACAAAAACTTTAAATAATTGTTATATGATTGAAATAATTGAGTACAACTGATTAATACAAAAATTTGCATTAAGTAAACTGTTGAATTGAATTTTCGTGATAATAGATTTGCTATCTATTATCTATATACATATTAATTTCATTTTAAATTGAAATAATAAACAATCATTTCATATGAATTTTTTAATAATGAATTTATAAGAATCCTAAATAATCAATAAATTCTTAATTGATTAAAATTTTTGTATTAGACACAATTTTTTATATATATCAGTAATTGATTTGAATAAAATTAGAAATTGAAATCACTTTCCAAGTAAATCTATTCCTATAGTCATGAAGTTATATTTTTCTAAATCCAAACTTTAAATCATAATTAAATCAATACTGAAGAATATATATATAAATATAGTAATAGAGTTACAAAAGTGTTAAACAGCTATCAATGATAAAAAAATAAGTAACACATAACTAAAGAAATCCTAAATGTTCAATAAGGAGAATTCAAATCCAACTAGCTTATGTTCTCTAACCTTTATTTCTAAAAGTATACTCTCTTTTTTTTTATATATATTTTTCTTTTTCTTTTCAGTTTTTCTATTTATATCTAAGAAACTTCGCAACCTTATAATCTATCCGTTCAACACTTATTAATTTAATCAATGAAATGATGTTTCTTCACCCTGAAGGTTAGGGTTGAAGTGGACAAGGGTGAAGAAGATGGTTGGTTCACAATGGAGAGTGTAGTAAGCAAAACAATGAAAATTGTGATGGATTAAGAGAATGAAGTTGACAAAGAGAAGTGAGGGAAAATCATGTAAAATTGAGGAATTTTTGGTAAGCTATGATTTAGAATCCATCTGTGTTGTTGATACATTTGTTAAAAGCTTCAAGATTTACTCAAGTGATTAAAAATTATTTTTTTACATAAGAGTCTTAAAAATAAAAACCCAATTTTACGTGATAGGGTCGAATTCCAAAAAAAAAAATTATGAAAATTGATCAAATGGTGTTTAGATACACAAAATTCGATTTTGATGGTCAAAACTAAAATTATGTTATATAATACCATTTTAGTTGTAGGTTTTTTCGTTCTCTTTTTAAGTTCATATATAAATACTTGAAAACATAATTTCTAAAGTAAAGTGAGGCCGGGAAGGAGCGAAACATTCACTACAAAAAAAGAAGAAGCCTATTATCTACGAAATAGAATCGAATCCATTACCTTAAAATATATTCCAACCACTAAACTATTATGATATTCTAATAATAATTTACAAATAAATTATAGTTATATTTATTCGTGTAAATATATAAATACATAAATATAAATATATAAATATAAATATATAAATATATAAATATATAAATATATCAAAATATCAAAATATAAATATATCAAAATATAAATATATTTATATTTATATATATTTTATATTTATATATTTTATATTTACACGCATAAATATAAATATAATTTATTTATAAGTTATTATCAAAATATCCTAATAGTTTAATGGTTGGAGTATTAGGCTCCAACTCTGAGGTAGTGGGTTTGAATCGTAATAATAATAATTTCTTTAATCTAATAATAATTCATAGTTCAAAAAATATAATATATGGGAGGGAGTTTCCCACATCTCATCACCTTTTTTCCTATCAATGTTCCTCGTGTTGAAGGCCTTCCTAATGGCGCAGAAACCACTTCTGATGTGTCTTTCTCTTTGGGCGCACTCATTATGACAGCTATGGATCGCACTGAGAGGGATATAGAGCTTCTTCTCATAGAGCTAAAGCCACAAATTGTTTTCTTTGACTTCACATATTGGCTACCCAACATGACTCGTCGCTTGGGGATCAAATCTTTTCATTACTTGATCGTCAGTCCTGCGACAGTATCGTACTGTGCATCCCCTCCAAGGATGAACCACAGTGGTAGCTTAACTGAAATTGACCTTATGAAACCCCCTCTTGGTTACCCTATATCATCCATCAAACTCCATGCACATGAAGCAAAGTTCCTTGCTTCGAAGAGGAACTGGGAGTTTGGTAGTGGTGTTCTCTTTTATGACCGCCTCTATAGTGGTCTAACCCAGTCAGATGCAATTGGATTCAAAGGTTGCAGTGAAATTGAGGGACCTTTTGTTGATTACATTGAGGAGCAATTTGGGAAGCCTGTTCTCCTTTCTGGACCTATCATACTCGAGCGACCCAACGCTGTTTTAGAGGAAAAATGGAGTGCATGGCTTGGAAGCTTCAAGGATGGTTCTGTGATTTTTTGTGCACTAGGGAGTGAATGGAAATTAACTCATGGTCAGTTCAAAGAATTGTTGTTGGGTCTTGAGCTTACAAGGCTTCCATTTTTGGTTGTTCTGAAAATTCCTATTGGGTTTGAGACAATGGAAGATGCTCTCCCAGAAGGGTTTAAGGAAAGGGTTGAAGGGAGAGGAATTGTCCACAGTGGATGGATACAACAACAGTTGATTTTGGAACACCCATCAGTGGGTTGCTTCATAACACACTGTGGTGCTGGGTCATTGACCGAGGCACTGGTAAATAAGTGTCAAATGGTGTTACTGCCTCAATTAGATGGTGATCATATCATTAGTGCAAGGACGATGGGTGGAAATTTGAAGGTTGGGGTTGAAGTGGAGAAGGGTGAAGAAGATGGTTGGTTCACAAAGGAGAGTGTAAGCAAAGCAGTGAAAATGGTGATGGATGAGGATAATGAAGTTGGCAGAGAAGTGAGGGCAAATCATGCAAAATTGAGGAATTTCTTGGTAAGCCCTGATTTAGAATCAATCTGTGTTGATACCTTCTGTGAGAAGCTTCAAGATTTACTCATGTGATTAAATTGGCTTTTCTACATAATGTTAGCTTTTTCTCTAGGCAAGTGGACAGAGTCGTATAAATGGATCGTCGTGTTCTCGTGTAGATCTAAGTTAATTCCAGTTTTTATTAAATCAAGCAAAAGCTTTAAATAATGGTTATATGATTGAAATGAGTAAATTGTTGTATTGGATTTGCAACCTATTATTTATGCATGCATCAATTTTATTTTCAATTAAAGTTATAAATATTTATTCCGTATTAATTCTTTAATCCTAAGCAACCAACCAATTCTTTCACAAATTAATTAAAATTCTTGTATTAGATACAATTTTATGTATAAGTAATCTTAACTTATTTTTATTCCTAGTGGTTAAGGTTACAAATTGATTTGAATAAGATCAGAAATAGTAATAACTTTAATATAAATCTATTGCTATAATCATGAAGATATATTCTTTTAAATTGAACCCTTAAAACATAATCAAATATACTATCTAATTATATATATATATATATATATATATATATATATATATATATATATATATATATATATATAGTTACAGCAGTGTTAAATAGTTCTATCTAAATTAACAAAAGAAATCTTAAATATACAAGAAGGAGAGCCAAACTTTGTTCTCTAACTTGATTGGTGGAAGTGTACTCTTTTTTTTTCTTTTCGTATCTAGTTATATCTTTTTTTTTCTATTTATATCCAAGGAACTTCGCAGTCTTTTAATCCATTCGCTCAACGTTTTATTAATTCGTTTAGCGGACTAAGGTTTATTCATCCTAAAAGTTAGGATTGAAATGGAGAGGGATGAAGAAGATGGTTGGTTCACAAAGGAGAGTGTACGCAAAGCATTGAAAATAGTGATGGTGATGGATGAAGAGAATGAGGTTAGTAGAAAAGTGAGCGCAAATCATGAAAAATTGAGGAATTTATTGGTAAGCCCTAAGTTAGAATCCATATATATTGATACCTTTTGTTAGAAGCTTCAAGATTTACTCAAGTTTTCATAAATTATTCTTTATTCCATAATGTGTGTATCCGGAGGGATTAATGCTTTAGATATTAATCATTTAATTGATGTCCTAGTGTAAATAATTGTTCTTGATTTAATAGTTATTTTAAAAATCTAGCAAAAAGTTATGAGTTATTATTATAAATTTCAAATAGGAAAAATAGAGATATTTAATAATAACATATTCTTATATGATAACTTAATAATTTTAAATTTAAAATAAAATAATTCATTAAAAAGGGATTTAGGATTAAATTTCAAAGAGATTTTATAAAAATCATAATTAATCAAAGTTTTAGGAATTTTTTACAACAATAAATGGCGTTGTATGTGGGACGGTAAAACATTCCTATTATACGAAGAGAAAAAAGCTTCCTCACCTCGCCTGTGTCTTCCAAATCAATCTGTCCTTGCCATGATTCCTCCTTTATTTGACCCATTATCATAGTCAAACTGAGAGTAAGGATGTTTAACATAACCATTTCTTTGGTGATATGAATCTCATTTGCATAAGGGCTGACTTAAAATCTTTAGGATTAGAACCTTATAGGAAATTTAGAAAATTAGTGAGAAGGTGAATTAGAAAGTGATGAAAGTTTTAAGGTTGGGCAATATTTTTGAAACATTGATATCTTAAGCTATAAAACTTCAATTGAGGTGATTAAAAAATGAGGTGAAAGTTTTTATTCTGAATTTCAATTTAGGCTAAAAAAACACTCAATTTGGACGAGTAGAATGAAAGTTATGACCACAAAATAAATTTGGGTAGAATTGAGATTTATGGGTTCTGGTGAATAAATGACAAGAGATGAATGTGAAAGGTCGAATGAAAGTGTTGAATATAGAAGAAATAAAGTTTGAGATTAATATCCCTTGTGTATATATCACATATAAGGTAGTCTATTTATAGTAGAGAGATACAACTAAAAAAGTAACTGAAAGTAACAGAATAAACAGAAGATATTGTTTGATATTATGGTTAACAATATCTTAACAATATAAAATAATATCTAAACAATATCTAACACTCCCCCTCAAGCTGG